GATAAACATGAATTAGATGCCTATCATCCAGGCCAGGTCTGCATTGGAGCCCTAAAGTATTCTAGCTTCCATCGTGACAAGTTCTGTCCAGTTTTTTCATCTTAATTTTCCTGCTTGCTCTTTGTTTCCGTGCAAATTTTTTCTTTGCTTCGGGATAGGTTTTCAAACAATTCAGTATCGAAATTTAGGATAACATTGAATGTGTGCTGTAAGTGGACCATTTTTTTTTGGTAAGCAGAACTGGTGCTGTGGGATGAACCAAACGTTGAGTTAAAGTGCCAAACTTCCCACTCATGAGACCCCATGAAAGGCTTTGATTGATATAGACAGCAAGACGTTAGCCGTGAAAGTCGGAAACCGCTAAGAAGTGTGTGATAACTCACCTGCCGAGTACTAGCCCTGAAAATAGATGGCGCATTCTTTGATTGCTTAAATTTTATTGTGCGTACGGATAACAGGGTCGCTCGGGATTTCGTTGGAGGATCTCTCGACGTTGTAACTATAGAAAAGACACATTGGCTTTGATGAACTAGTTCAGTTCTTAAATATATAACATCTTCCGAAAGATCACTCGGGTGGGTTCAGTTCTTAAATATATAACATCTTCCAAGGGATCACTCGAAGGCATTAACGACGCAAAATGCCATGTTGTAATACTGCAACGTGCATGTCCTCACATACCGTGTATTGATTTCAAAAAGGTGTCAAAACTTCCGGATTGATGCATTTGAGCCATGGACTTCAGTCACATTTCCGAATTGTTGATATACGATGAAACTGGAAACATTCGTGCATACGAAGACCCCTAACTTTGCAGTTATTTTCACTGCCCGGAGAGTATAGTATCGCACGCGTCAAAGAATGTATTACTGGCCTGTTTTCTTTGTTGTGTTTAGTCGAAAACGAATTTTTATTTTTTTCTGGCAACACATTTCATTTCAAGGGCCAGAATTAGCCTTCCACAAGCCTTCGGGCTCCCATATACATGGGTTGCAGCTAAGCTGGTGACCATATCACTTGCAGAGCAAAACTGCGTAACGGTTAAGTTGCCGGTGTTTTTCAGATCATTTGAAAGATTGTTTTGGGGTGCTGTTTCCAATTAGAAGTACCACCATTGTTGACTGTTGTTGAACTGCAGTGCTCTTTGTAGTTTGTAACAAAATACCGGATAGCTATTGCCTGCAAGCTCATCTAGGCAGTTTTAAGCCGAATTTTTAGGCCTTTTAAAAGGGAGGATTTGTGTTATGATTGGATTTCGATAGATTACGGTTTGGGCATGTGCTGATTGCAGAGGGCTGAAATAATGAGGGGATCCGTGTAATAGATATACTACTGGTTTCACTAAAATACTTTGAGGATGCAAGCAAAGCATTGTAGTTCAGTATTGTATAGGCTGTTTGTTTTTGTTAATTTTTCCCCCTCTTTTTTTGTCATTTGGCAGTTGTTTGATTCGTAGGGGGCATTCGTGATACACGTCCACTTATCGTACCCTCCGCGTTAGTGTTTCCATAATTTATAAGCATCGCATATGCTGTATCGTTAGTGCATCCATCATCTGGATGTTTATTTGATATGGGAAAATAAATGACAGTGCAAGCTACGTTTTGCAGGCATCTGCTTCTTGATACCGTATCAGTAGAGGTGTGCTTCGCGGGATTGATCCAGTCGTGAAAAGTGCTCGCTCTCCTGAATAACACTGTTGAGCAGCTTGGTTCTGGGCGCTGAAAACAAGCTTTAGATTAATGGACTGTGACTAAAAAGGCCATTTTAACATCGCAGTTAAAACTGTTTGCCAAATATAAAGAAAATCCTCTTTGACATCACTCGTCGCCCCCTCTCCCTTCTCTCCCCTG